TTTATACAAATCTATTTCTTTTAATACAAATTCTAAAGCCGCGTACACACTTGTAACATTTTCTGTTACGCCCTAACACCAGTTGTCGGTAAATTTGGCCTCATCAAAGGATGTTAAGCGCAAATGTTACAAGTGTGTACGCGGCTTAAGGAATAACATTTATTTTGATTTTTTTGACATTTTAAACGTTAAATACCGGTACTGGTTCGCCGTTGGTCGATCGACAAAATACTTTCTTTTGATGTTAATCGACTTTTTGTCCATCGGTATAATTGTGACCGATGTCGAATCAATGTAACACTGGTATAATGCACAAGTTCGTGAGTTTATATTTTGAGCGACATTTTATTTTTATGAGAAATTCTCTTTACTTTTTGCAGCGTACTATTTTACTATTATTATATAATAATTATATATACATTTTTTTTATCTTATTAGTTCTTACCTACCTATTACTTAGTATAATAATATATTATTACCTTATCTTATTTAATTTCAAATCAATTTTAATGACACTCCGTCCTTTTAATAAATCATATAGCTTAATAAATTGTGTCACTTAGGTACTCGTACTTAATAATATTATTATACCTATATCTAGTGGGTATGCTAGTTAAACGAATTAGGATTGTTACTAAACATTTATAACTGGAATAAAGCGTATTCTTCGTTTGGGTTTTGTTGTTTCCGCTATTTTGTTGTTACATATTACGTGGTAATGTACCTAATGATTTTTATCTTAATAGATTATAGACTATCAGTTATAATTTATAAATATTTAATCGTATAAACAACAAACGTTTTAAATCACGTAATTACACTAAAACTACATAATATTGTGGTATTATTGATTTAATATTTAAACCCCCGATTAAAACTTATAAGTAAAGTATGTTTATTTCCAATCGTAGATATTTATATCATAATATACAATACTGAAATATTGTATTTAATATCATAACGTAATTACTAATTAGTAATTAGTGTTATTAGTACACAATGTGTATCGGCAATGGCAATAATATTATTAAACAACACGACACTATTATAATAAATAATAATATATTATACTGTCATATAGTTACACGTGTTCGTCAGGACTCGGGACGGAATTTTCTTTTATATTCTTTATTAGACCTTTGTACGACAACTGTATTAAACCAAAACACGATGTAATTCTAAAGACATTGGGAATGTCTACGCAAAGATAATACAGCAAAGGTTTTTGGCTCAACTTCAAAGAGCACATTAGCGAAATTAGCCTGACATACGATTTTACGGATTGTATTAATTATTATTATTACGACAGATGTAGAAATCTGTCACCACGGTTTCATCACTCAATCGTGTGCAAGTCTAATAATATTTTGACTGTCGTGACGTCGAATTGTTGCAGAATAATCCATAAGACAATACTCTAAGTTGAATCGGGGACACAGGGACAGTGTGTCATATACACTCGGCTCGATAGACACCACTCAGCTAATTTATAACTACAAAAACTTTAATATGCCTACGATAGGTTTGTTACAATAATTAATAACTAAATAACGTATTCAATGTCGATGCCATTTAGATGTTTGACCTAATATTAATGACTTGGTAAATCAAATTTTTGCAGTATATTAGCCGTTTTGCTATAAATAAATATCTATTAATTTTTATTGTAAAATTATGAACAGTTACTTGGGAATAAGGTAATTTAGTATTATAGCGACTTGGCATAATATATCATAAACACATATTGTGTGTAAATTATCACATGCTAAATCGTTATACAAGTAGGTAAACAACATGTAATATTTTAATAATTTTGTATTATGATAGGTACGTTTTAGGGATTAAACGTCTGCTGTTTATATTTGAATTTCTATTAAAAAACTATGTACATACTTACATCGGTATTGTAAAGATTAAAAAAAAACCTTTTTTTTTATATATATAAAATGGATTTCATTCAGTTGGTTAATCCTATTAAGGCATTTGGCTGTATGTGTAAATGTAAATCAATTTCCTTAATAAACTTATAGTTTATAAACGATTTGTAAACGACTCGTTGAATCTCTGTTGATTTAATTTAAACTTTAAACTTAATAACAACGTTACTAATAATAATTAATTTACATTGTACGAATATAGTGGTCAGGCGGAGGAGGAGAGTAGGTCTGACTGCAACATTTCGTTTTTAAAGTGTTTTTTTAATCAGCAAAAAGAAGGGTCTATCACATGGTCATATTATTATAACTGATAAATATCATCTCTCTCTCTCTCTCTCTCTCTCTCTCTCAAAAACTACTGCCCCTTTGATGCTCTTGCCGACAGTGATAATTTACCCTCCTGTATAACGAGTTTCAGTAGGAGGTTATATTGCCGCCGCATTGGCGACAAAAAATCTCCCGTGCAGTGCCGTAAAATGTGCCGACGATGCAATGCAGCACAACTCTCGACGAGGCCCCTAGAAAAATCAAGAGTTTTATTATACATTTTTGATGTTGCAATTTCATAGCATAAATTCGTGCAGGGGAGATCTCAAAAAAAATAATCTATTACGTCCATGCACAATGCACATAAAGGCGTGGTACACTGGTACTTATATATATATAATATTGTTACATATTTTAATAACTAGTGAGTGCCAATAATAGTAGTACAGCCATATGAAAAGAAAAAAAAATAGTATACACTATATACAATGTCTATATACTTTTCGTTTAAATATTCATCATCTATACTCCATAATAATAACTAATAAGTCATAACAATTATTAGGTAACGTTTCGGGCGGCGGATATGTAAACGGTATAACTAAACCTTACAAACCTATGGTTAACAACCGTTTTGTTCAATGTTCGGCTGTGTATTTGCGTATTCATAAAAAATCAGATATTCAGACGGGACAGTTAGTGGGGCGGACTTTACACTTTCTTGATTATGAATTATTATTTTATTGTCTTGGTTTTAGTTACATATGAAATATATTATGGTAATTGGAAACCCTAGCTTTAAGTGTTATATAAAGACGCTTAGAGTTTTACTACTTTACTAGGTATCTTTGTGTGTTTTCGCTGTAGTCTTTCGCATTCTATACATTCATTTCAAGATATAAATGCATATAGCGCGAAAATACAAAATTAAACTTTTTTTATTCATCGGCGCCTCTGTCTACTGTCGTATCCGCATATTATGTAAATATAGTATATGTAAATAATATATGTATCCGACGTCGTACGTGTTAACTAGCTGGCCTCAGCTCTCAAGTAGGTTGAGACTATATTATATTATGTAGTAAATCGTGTACAATAATATTGTCTTTTTAACAATGTAATAAATAGTATTTACGAGTATACAGCAGCATATACTTGAGTCTAAGCATAATTATACGTATTATAATGCAGCCCATAATATTATAAGACCCAACTTATATGCATCAACCACTAATTTATAAAACATTTTCAGGTCCACCGTGTATTTTTGACTTTTGTCTAACTTGGTACAATATTTGCTCCATTTATTTTTCAAAATTTACAAAAAAATAGATGAAATAATGGTATTTATAATTAATAATCAAACAGTATTAGGACTTTATTTTTAGATGTAACTTAGGTACTTCGGTTAAACGTTTTAAGTACTAAAATCTTTGTAAACCACAACTACACATTTTATTAAAATTACATTTATAAAACAAATAATTATATTATATAAAAAATTTCAACACATTTTATATAATATCTGTTTTGCCTGCAACTACTTAGTTATTATAATTTATAACGTAACTTACAATTCTTGATATTCAAGGTTTTTGAAATTCGGTTAAAATGTATTTTACGTAATAGAATTAACGTTACAGGAGGTTATGTCAATTCCTAAAAATCATCTTTCAAAAAAGGCATAATAAGCTGTAATTATTTATATTGTTATACCTATTGTTTTTTTGTAGGTTTTTAATTTAGTAGGTTATGGCAACAATGTAATTTTGTACAAAATATTGTAACGAATCAATTTCAGATTGTAATGTAGTTGAAAAAAATTGTGGACTTTTCACGAGATGATGTCTACTTTGTTTTGAAACATCGACGTATTAGTAATTTTGGGTTGGGCATCCCTGGTGGCTTTATGCGCAGCGTTGAAACCCTTTCACAATATTCTCATCCCAATTAAAGCCACATCGGTCTTTTAATAATAATATACGCGACGCGTACACAAAAAGGCCGCGGGGAGGGAACCCTTTTATAATAAATCGGCCGCCACTGATGTGGACGACACGCAGCTCAGTTAATTTACAACTACGACGGAAATGACGGATGGCGGTGAACGGTGGTGGTGGTGGTGTGTACAGGACAACCGCAGGATTAAGGCTATTTTTCTGCCGGCCGCACGGTTACTCTCTATATACAATCTCTTCGTTATTGACGTTACTTTTAAATTGTTACCTACCAGCATGTCGGCGTAGAAGCGTACAGGGACGAATTGGTCACTATAATATGGTTATACTATACTTTTTTTTATACACTTTAACGAACCCACGTTTCTTGTTTTGTAGCTATTCTTTCGTTCTCCGAAATAAAATGTTTTGTTTCACATCGACCATGTATAGTGTGTTTTATTCGAGCATTTACAATTTAAGGTGTTATAAAAATCACAACAAGCATATGTATGAACCCGGAATTGTTGCACAGCAAGAAAATGGCCTATTATAATGTGTTTTAAGGTATAAATTCAAAAAGTGGTTTCCACTGATGTGCAGAGGTACCTATTATATAGGTTTACAATATGGTACAGTAACCAGACAACACGGGTAAGTACCTATTATAAAAATATCTCTCTCGAATATATTATGTCTCCTCGGCTATAGACTTTTGCGACCTTTTGCTGCCCTGCATAGCCCGCATAGAGTGTCCAGTATAAAACTCAACGGTCGACCGACAGACAATATTGTGTATAGGAATTGAATTCTTTCGTCGTTATTATATTGACGACGACGGTTTTAGGTCTGTCCGAATTCAGGTGTTTCGTGAAGCCTCTGCCACAATTTTGGTCAAGGTCGTCGTGTGTTTGGTTTTATTTTCAGTCGTATATAATGGTGTGCCACCTTGCCTTTTACTCTTCCTTGCCGTTTCTTCACTGCCGGCTGACAAACACGAGGACGCATGGTGTTTGGTTTTCAGACTATTGCATTCGATCAGTTCGCTCACGATAACCGTGTGTGTCATCGTGCCGTGCGTCTGCTCGTGGTGTATTCAATCGAACCAGACATTCGGACGTCCAACCGAAGTCTGTATACGGTCATCTCGGCGTTTTCGACCACCTCCCCTCTCATCCGACATACTCTCGAACGCGCCAAACGGTTTGCGCAACGTTGTCACGAGGTAGCGTTGTTTTTCAGAATTCCATGGGCTCGAAAGCCAACAATTTTTTAGTGCATTTGCAGGTGTGCCATTAATTATTATATTATAATATTATAATATTTTTGTCGACTCGGCGACGGCATGGCATTGGCGGCGCCAGGCGCTTATGCGTCGCCGAGGAGACCTGCAGGGTTGCCAGCTCCGGCTCCCGTTAAAGTCGTCGCTACTCCCCACGACGCCACAACTACCGCCACTATCGTAATGCGCCGGCACCAGCGAATCATTGAGGACTGCTTTAATCTTGAGTGAGTCGTATTACATAACATAATATAATATATTATGTCATAATACAAATTAGAGAAAATAAATAATGATTAACTACGTATGATTATAATATCGTCCCAAAATATATTGGTCGGGAGGAAATGTTTCATAATATTATAACTATATGTACGTTTGTGCGTGTCGTCAACGCTGCAGAGTCAATAGGTCAGCCGCCAACAGGTGGCCAACTCGTAAATACTATAATATTATAGTTAATACACACTGCAAGCACGCACGCATTCACGCGATTTAAAAAATGCTATAATAATATGTATATTGTATTCGTACATACTATTATTATTATTATACTATAGTTCGTTTTTGTTCGGATGACGGTTGTTATCGGTTTTTTTGCAATATTTGACTGTGAGCTCATAGTTCTCGGAAAAGTCGACCAGAAGGATCGGTTAAATTTCTCAGCGATATTATATGGATTGTAGTAGATGTACATTGTAGTACCTTTATCGCGCAGAGGTCTCGTCGTAATCGGTTCGAGCTCTATGACGAAAACATAGTAGGTAATAATATAATATAGGTTTATTCGTTTTAAAAAAATCATCTATTACATAATGTAATACGTAGTAGAGGAAGTAACAAACATTTATATCGATTAGGGAAAGTCAGCTGATCGCATGGTTAGCATGGTACGCCAATATGATGATATTTTTTTTAAATTTGTTTTTCTTGATTTTTTTACGGTTTGTCGTTAACACACCTGGCCTTACACTGAAAAACCAATGTAACACCTGCACTTCCACCCGTATGCACCAAAATAACATTTTTTTAAAAAGTAAAGTGTGCACAACTACACTATTTTAAAACGAACACTTATTGGTACAGAATTATTTATTGTTATTATTGTTGCCCGAATGTGTAGCGAACTTTTATAGTTAAAACGAATAAACTTATTGTACGAATACTAATATCGCTATCACGCGCCTTTTTATACTAATATGAAAAATGGAAAATCGTGTATTTGTGTGGGTGTACCGATGATGAATCGTGTTGCATTCTGTAAGGTATATAAGGTTATTGGGAACCGCAAGCTCTCTGGCCCGTACTGCTCGTGAAAAGCCCGTCCTCGGTGTCGATCTCGGGAACTTAATGGAAGTTACGTCTCACATCATTTGTCCGGATTACGGTTTTTTTTTCATCTCTCGGCGGCTCGATAAAGAAGGGGGCTTCGCCCATTCACCAACTGACGTCACCGACGCCGCCGCGTTTTCCCGTTTCGTGTTTTGCGCCAGTCTTCGAGCTTTTGTCTGAAAACCAACGGACCTCTATATAACGTTGTTTTATTATAATATTAGCGCAGCAATACAATGTCTGGTGCCGTGTCACTTTATTATCTGCGCCGATGGCATTAAAATGTATTGTCCAGCTGTTTGCATCCGACAATGGTTTCCGTCAACTTCCGGTGATAATGGTCCTGGTCTGGGTAGGACTAACCGTACAATAAAATACATTATCTGAGGAGTTTTTTTAAACATATTTTTCCTCGATTATTGTCTGTGCACGTGCAACTATCTATATAACTTATGAGGACAGGGGAAGTGATCACTACGACATTATTCATATTAATTATACGTTAGGTTTGTGTATTTATTAAATAATTTAATACTAGATATTTTCGTATGCAGTATAACAACTAATTATGACGAGCACGCACGATTCGTCAACCCATTTTATTGTATTATATAGGTGTATACCGTATATTATGCTAGCACGCCGTTTATTAGTTTCAAACAGAAAAATTCCATGGAAATGTTTACATAATGCATGTTGCATACATTATAATTTATAAGTAATATTAAATATTTTAACATATTCTCGTTGTTTGTTCATTCTTGTGGATCTTTGCCGGTATTACTGCTACCGAAAATATGAATCCCTGTTTTATTATACTTTTGAAAATTAGAAATATTACCTATAAAATGAACGACAGTAATTATTCAAAAAAAATTAAATATTTACTATGAATATACATATCAAAAATTATGTACATACCTATATAATATTAAACTATCCACCGAAAGGTAAAAGTGTTTGTATGATATTTATTAACGGTGTAGCTGAGCTCTTCGGCGGTTTTTAACTTTTGAACGGTCGTTTCCATCACATACACAACTCGCATGAATTCAATAATACATTGCGCATTATTGCAATAAGTGCCACATGTTTTATTTTTTTTTTATATCTATAATATTTACTACTTCGAGCTCGAATCAACGCCCGTTGTGCGATAAAGCCCCGTTGACGGGTCTACAAAGGCTGCAAACAATTCACTGTTAAGTGTATATACGTCTACGCTGTATATAGAGGTTAGTACGTTATATAGTGACGCGTAGCTCATCATATTAGAGTGGTCTTTTAGAACCAAAGTACAAACCTTTGAAGAGTTGAATTTTTTCTTTTTATAAAAACCGTGCGATGACGCGTGTTAAGGGAAAATATCCGTAAAATTGTATGTCTAAAACGTTGGGAAATATATTTTTATTGTCTCAGTCGGTTAGTGGTATAGGGTTTTAGCACTGGCGTCCTACTTAAAGATTGAAAATGGAAACCACTCGCCAATTGTGGCGGCGACGCTTTTTGTCTTTCACGTCCGCACTCAGGTGGATACTTTTTGCCGTTTAATATTTAGTAGAGAAATAAATCGAAAAACGCTGCACGACGAGGTGTAAAAAACGTTTTCGGTCGTACGCCGTTTACACATCGTCGTCGTCGTTATTAAATATTTACATATTTTTTCCCCAACCTTTGGTGAACTCTGTCCGTCGTGCATATTGTGTACGCCGCCGCCGCCGCCGTTGTCGCCGCCGAGTATCGACTAAATCGTTTCAAATGTTTCTGTATAGGTAATATTGAATTACCCGTTGCCGGTTCCTTTTCCGTGTGCAAAAGTGTGTAATGTATATATGTGCCGCCGCCGCCGCCGGTTGATCGTTTGTTCGTCTTTCACGAACCGCGGTTTTTGGCTGAGTGATTTTATATTTCTTGATCAGATGACACAAGAATCCATCAAACATAATAATAATAATTACTCAGTGTAATTAAAGTTAAATGTTGTACAAATCAGGATCGGGGGATCTCATCAATGTTTCTTGAGAAATCGAGGCTTAGAATTTCTTATCCTCACCTCAGCAGGTATATTACCGTTACGTAGGTATCATGTATAAGGAATAAAAATTAATTTTTAAAGGAAACTATTATTACGCTTTATTAATAATTAGGCGGTTTGCAAATCGAACACACTGCAATATACTGAAACCGAAGCTTACCTATCATTGTTAAATATTTTAAAATATTACCATTTAGACAGATCTCACGTATTACAAAGAGAGACAAGACGGACTTTGGGGCCATCAAAAGGCAGGACACTTGAATATCAATTCGAGGTCCCACCTACCATAATCATGAAGTCAATACTCTTTTGATGATGCAATATATTATAAGGGAGTCTATCGAAAGAGCTCATCAGAAGATTTTAATCAAGGGTTAGCAAACGGATAGACGTTAGGTATAGCAAATACACTTTCAGAGCTTGGTCGTAACACCACACTCACCGTCTTAAAATAGTGACTTACAAAATATAATTGTTATTTGGTTTATCACTATTAAATTAAGTCATACAACTGATCGAATATACTGATCATTATATTGGCACGAAACATTACGAATATATTTGATAATTGTTTTATAATATAATGTAGATAAATCAATACGAGTCATGAGTGGGAAGTAATTTAATCAATCGCAATGATAGTTCAAATATTTTCGCTACGTAAAATACAATAATAATATATTGATCCTATTATTAGCAATCTAAATATTAACATGTCGGGACTAATATGTAGGAATAATATTGTTTTACTCATTCCGAAATTCCTCTCTAGTACCGATGACGGGGCAGATTTATTTAAAACAACGTGATTTAATGATTGCAGATATTCCTCAAGTGTGGCATTCACCGATAAAATACGTCATATATAGTGACAACTGAAAATATCATAACGCCCGCCGTCCAATTACCTCGTCACTGTCATTATATTATATTATTATTATAAATGTATACTTTGTATTAATGACTGCCTAACGCCTTAACAATACAATTTACCAAACATTTAAATAAATATTATCATAACGGCCAACAAAATCGAATTTTCGTGAAAAGTTTTCCGATTAGCTTGCCGTTTTCAATATTGTTAGGACGAAGTGCTTAATTTACTCACTGTCGTCATATTATCCTTATCGACGCAAACCGTCGTAAAACTTCTGACGGCTATATTTTCGCAGTGCTCGTAAAAATGTTTTGAAATATAATCGCGATCACTACCTCATTGTTTTGATATTATTTTCTAGTTTGATACGTGTGTTTATTATTTTAGCTAATTTTTCGAAACGGTCTCCTATAAACTATTATATTATGGCGGTTTTTACCTACGACAAATCGTGTGAAATCCTTTTCCGTTCATGAATTATGGCGCGTTAATTCTTGAACGAAAATAAAATTCATTTTATGTAGTCGGTAACGTATTATA